GAGGTGCACCACCACCACACCCAGCTCCCACACTGTTTGCTAATCAGCAATGCATTTTGTTTTCTTAAATACCTACCATGTTGGAATTAAACCTGGGGCTTTGTGTATGCTGGAAAAGTGGTTCATCTGAATTATGCCCATCATTATTTAGAGGTTCAGGAAAAAAAAAAGGTTGTCAAATACTGGTGATATCCTAGATAGATGGAATGTGATTCTGTTTTGGGGACTGGACTGAATGAGTAAATAAAATACTTAGGCCTGTAATCAACTCCTATCATTAGTCACTCACTAAATGTAAAGTGTAGTCTGATTTGTGGGTAAACTGCTTTTTGCTGTTATATCTGGCATTGAAAATCTTTTAGTGTGTTCATCTCTAATTGGGTAGGTTTCCAAAGGTGGAATTACTGGATCAAGAACATTCTCAAGGCATAGTTATGAGAAATTCAGTCAAAACTGGTTTAGAACATTCCCTTTAACTTGGTCGTTTTACTTAAACTTTTTCCACATTTGTTTCCATGAAATGGGGCTCATCATAACATCTGCAGGCACAGTAAGACAGAGTACATACTGGTGATAACACTTCAAGAGCAAAGTAAGTTATCTTTATCAGGACAGCTCCACTGAACTCCAAGCTTTGGATGGGAGCATGTGGACCAAATAAAACCACCATGTCAACAGTGACCCCCTGTGGCCCTTACAGAAATAGGCATGTGTTAGTAGAAGTGATCAGACTTTTCATCCTTTTATCTTGGTTTAAGGGATTGTCCCTTAGATGGCAGAAACTTCTCCTGAGATCCATAAACAACCTGACATACCCAAACCCCAAGAAGTGGAAAACAGGCCTCAAAACTTGCATGAGGAGGTCCAAGCCACAGCTTTGAGATAAGGGTGGCAACCGCATTTGGATATGTATATAAACAGACTCATCAACAGACAAACACACAGATGAGTAGGTAGCTAGACAGACAGACAGTAGTCCCTCTTTACACATAATTTTACTTCCTTCTGTCCCAGTGACCCATGGCCAATCCCAGTCTGAAAATATTAAATGGAAACAATTCATCAACTTAAAATCATGTGTTATTTGAAATCTTATACCATTCTGCACTGCACACCATCATCTCTGAATCTATCTGTCTGCAGGCTCCAGGCTGTGTACCCCCCTCAGTCACTTGGTACTCTCTAGATACTGGATTTTAAAATGTTTTTAAATTTTGAGACTATAATAAAATTATATCATTTCCCCTTCCCTTTCCTCCCCCCAAAACTTTTCATATACTTCACCTTGGTCTCTTTCAAATTCATGGTCTCTCTTTTCATTAATTGTTTTTCATTCATCTATATGTATATATGTATGTACATATATAGATATTTGAATTTGATACTGAACAACTAATTGGTGTGCTCTTCCCTGGAGGAGACTATCTCTCCTACTTTTGGCATCCCTTTGCTGCCTGTATTTCTTTGTGTAGGGTTAAGACTTCATGGTCTCACTGCAGTGCTTGTGCTCAAGCAATCCCTGCTGTACTCAAAAGTGGCCCCAAAGCACATCCATATGGAGTCTGTCAGCTTGGATATGCCTCAAATACAAAACTGGAAAAGTTTATTGTAGTGTGAATTCTAATTGGTCTTAGTAATAAAAATCCTGAGTCAGATATAGGGGTAAATGCTGAAAGATCAGAGAAGCAGAGCAGGCAGCTGTTAGCTCTACCCTCTACTGAATCAGACCAAACCCCATGAATCCTCAGACTGAACACCATGAGCTTTTGTCTCCTTCTGCCTTATATACCTCTCCCTGTCCAGCCATATCACTCCTGTCTCCACCTCCCTAGTACCGGAATTAAAGGTGTGTGACTCCCAGTTATTGGGATTAAAGGTGTGTACTGCCACTGCCTGGCCTCTATGGCTAACTAGTGGCTAGCTCCACATTCTGATCTTCAGGCAAGCTTTATTTGTTAAAGCACAGACAAAATATCACCACAGTTTATCAAAGTGAAGTGTGTATGGGAAAAACACAGAGGACACAGTGGATGTTTGGATGTGCTATTGCAGGTTTCTACTGAGGGCTCTTGGACTGTATCTCACCATTAACGGAGAGGTGACTTCTCTACCAACAACACCCTTCTGGTTGGGAGAGTAGAGACTCAGTGCAGCGCCAAATACTTCTTTTTCATTTTATGTAAACAACACTCTCTCACTGCAGGTCTGCAGCCATCTGTAAAACTAATAAGACAGGTCAGCTTTCCTGTTTTTTTTTAATTTTTTGTTATTTTTTTTATTTTACATATTAATCCAAGTACCCTCTTCCTTCCATCCTCCCATTCCCCCCCCCACAGAACCCCCCCATCCCATCCCCCAACCACTCCCCAGGGAGGGTGATGCCTTCTTTGAGGGATCATCAAAGTCTGTCAAATCATTTCTTCAGCTTTCCTAAGTCTATGACATGGAGTCTGGCATTTGCAGAATGAGGCCAAGCCTAAGCTAATAGCCAAGCTTTCATAATTAATAAGAAGTCTCCATGTCGTTATTTGTGAGCCAGCAGCTGACAAAAAAAGCTTACTACACCCTAGGAGTTCCTTAAAAAAAGGGTAAGACAGCATCCATACTGAGTGGCTTACAATTGTTTATAATTCCAGCTCCAGGAGATTCGATGCCCTCTCTGGCCTCTGTGGGCATCCACATATGTGTGCATATATACTCACTGTCTCCCATGTATGAATAAATAAATAGCAAAATAAGTATATTCTTGGTGTTGACACAGGGACTAGGTTGGTGGTTAAACAGTTGAGAATGCATACTGTTCTTGCAGAGGACCCGAGTCTAGTTCAGTTGTTCCAGGTGAAGGAAGGCAGAGATAGGAGGATCTCAGGGACTCACTAGTTAGCCAGACCAAAAACCAAAAAACAAAACAAAACAAAAGAGAGAGAGAGAAATAGAAGAAAGCACCTGATGTTGACGTCTAACCTTCAGATTCACACACTCACACACATAAATCATACATAAATATTCTTAGCTTCATTAGTTATACTAGTCAAAAGGTAGAAAAAACCCACCAAGGTCCACAAACTGGTAAATGGACATGTACATTTGGCACACCAACATTATATTGACTGGTTTTGTATGTAAATTTGACACAATCTAGAGTCCATGAGATTCCGCTGTAAGACATTTTCTCAATTAGTGACCAATGAGGGGATAGCCCATCCCTTTATGGGTATTTTCATCCCTGGGCTGGTGGTCCTGGATTCTGGAGCAAGCCAATAAGTGGCACACCTCCATGGCCTCTGCATCAGCTCCTGCCTCCAGGATCCTTTGAAATTCTGTCCTGACTTCCTTCAGTGATGAAGCAATGTGGAAGTATAAGCCAAATAAACCCTTCCCTCCATAACTTGCTTTTTGGTAATGGTGTTTTGTTGCAGCAATAGAAACCCTGAGATTTAAAAAAAAAAAATGTATGGAACGTCATTTGTCTGTGAAGGGGGCTGATGCTGCAGCAAGGGAGAAAGATTGCAAATATTGTCTATAAGAAAGGCTCTATTTGTGAGAGCTTGCATGCTATATGATTTAATCTAAATGAAATATCCAAAATTGGCCATTCAAAGAGAAAGAAAGTCAATCCCTTAGGACTGGGGTGGGGTAGAATGGGTAGTTGGAAGTGAGAGTTAAAGGGCTTAGATAAAATGATTAAAAATGTTACCAACATGAAAAAAAAAACAAAGAACAAACAAAACAAAACAAAAAGCAAAAAACAAGCAAACAAAAACAAAGAGGAAGAAGCACTTGAATGGGTCAAATGGATTTAGCTCCTGGGTCCTGGGTGTAACGCCAGGAGTGTTACCTTGCCTTCTGTCTGCCTTACTTCCTCCACAGGCAATGGATGGAGGTGATAGTGTTCACCTCACAGGGTTGTAAAGACTGAAAGAGTAAGTACAGACTAGAACAATGCCTGGAAACAAAAATGAAAACTTCTATGTTGTTTATTCCGGCCACTGTATAAATCTTGTACTCCACTATATATTGGAGTGTCAAGGATAAGGTATTTGCACAGAAAATATACACATGCATATGATAATACCTTTGAAGTTATCTTTTTCTGGGAATAATCTTTTATTTAAGACATGGTTTGATGAAGCTTACTCTGCCTTGAAATGTCTGTGCATTAGACCTTCAACTTCTGCTTCCAGCTCCTAGTGCTGACTTGTATCCAGCTTTTCTTGTAGTAATTTTAAATATATCATATTCAATACATCTTAACTATTAGGTGTTATATTTATTTTAATAATTTACATTTGTTTGTTTTTCCCTCCTAATTGACATTTATAAATTATTGAGGGTCTGGAAAGATAGCTCAGTTAAGAGCACACATTGCTTTTGCAGAGGACCAGAGTTTGGTTCCTAGCAGCCATGTGAGGTGACTCACAGTTCAGGAGATCTGATGCCCCCTTGTGGCCTCTCCAAGCATTGCATGCACATGCACAGACTCACAGACACATCTACACACACATAATTCACAAAGAAAAATTGAAAAGTTCCTCTGTTGTGAGGTGGAATGCAGGAAAACCTGCTTAGAGACAAATGGAGAAAGTTGGGGTAAATCCAATTAAAATTTGAGTCCCTTTTAGAAGTAACTTAATACTCATACAACCCTAATAAGGCTAGCAGCACCTAGCCCTTTATTAAAAAGGTATTGTAGTGCCTATTTAGGGACAAAACAGTAACACTTAAAGTCTGATTCCTGAGGTTCGTTCATTCTCCTCAACAAAATGTGAATAAAACACAGGCTAAACTCTGCATAATGGGGTACCTCATCAGAGTACAGTGAGGTAGGCATACAGATAGTTAAATTCAGACCATGTAAGCATATGCAAACTTCAGGGCTTTCCATTCTGCCACCCATTTTTCTTTTTTCTTTCAACGCTAAAGTTTCTTTCTAGTTTGACCCAAAGGGCTTCCCGTTATCCCCGCCTTTAGGCACGCATGCTCAGAAGCCGGAGTTTAGTTCCTGCTTCCTTGACAATGGCGGCTCGCGGCGTGGGGCTTTTGACCCGTTTGCCCCTGCATTCCCAGAGAAGGAGCCGAGTCCAGCGCTCTATTTCCAGACACCTCAGTTGTGCAGGGACTATAGCCGCGAACTTCGGGAGCGAAGAGCAGCCTCCTGGGGGTGCGGAGACAGGTGACGGGCGGCCGAGGCGGGCGGAGGGCGCGCACCACAGGCCAAGGGGCCGGACCTCTGCGGCCTGGCAGAAACCCAGGCGGGGGTTTCATCGCTGTTGAGGACGACTCCCGTGGACAGCAGTGAAGTTGTTCAGGCCAGGAACACGGTTGGCGAATACTTTATAGTTCGGCACAAAAACCGTGTAGTAATAATGTAGTGATGATGATGATGATGAAAATAATAATAATAATAACAAGCGGTGATGATAATAATATTGCCACCCAGTGGCGTTTGCCTCTTCCCTGAGCCGTGCATGAGCTTTTGATAATCTCTTAGCTAGGGTTGTTAGTGCTGTGATGAAGAACCATGACCAAAAGCAACGTGGGAAGGAAAGGGTTTATTTGACTTACATATTTCTACTCAGGAACTCAGACTGGTCGGAAATCTGGAGCGTCAGCTGATGCAGAGGCCATGGAGGAGTTCTGCTTGCTGGCTTGCTCAGTCTACTTTCTTATAGCACCCAGGACGACCAACCCACAATGGGCTGATCCCTTTGACATCAATCACTAAATGTGAAAATGCTCTAAGGACTTGGCGGTAGCTTAGTCTTTAGAGGCATTTTCTCAGATGAGGATTCTTCGTCCCAAATGACTTAGTTTGAGCCAAGTTGACATAAAACTAGCCAGTGCAATACCCATAAAATGTCACTGGAGACCCAATACACCAAAACTTACTGAACAGTGAGTTTTCCTGGCTCCCAGAACCCTCTGCCTATGGAAATGTCTGTTATTTTGGCGTTTCAAAACAACCTGTTTGGCAATAGATTTTCCTCCGTTGTTTTAACAACAACCTTCTAAACATATACACCTGGTCAATTGAGATCCCATTCTTACTGAACCTTTCCTGTGTCTGGAGAACTTGTGGATGTTTTTCAGAATTCTTAGAACAGCCTTGCAAGAAATTTGCTGGGTGTTGAAATAGTGATTGGATTGGGTGTAGGAGATGCTGCTTCTGTTGAAAATTTTTAAGTGATCCTGCAAATTCAAATAAGGTTTCTTTTGAAATCTCTTGTATGATGGCTTAAATTTGAGAGCATTTTCATTTGCTCTCTGAGACACAAAGCAAACCAGTGGAGTAGAACAAAAGGAATTATTACTCCATTTTTTTCTTTTTCCATATTCAGTGTGTGTGTGTTGTATGTGTGTGTGTTGATGGTAGCATGTGGACACTGTGTGCGTGTGTGTGCATGCAAGTACATGTGGGTACGAGTATGTGGTTGGTATGGAGAACCATCAGCATTGCTCTTCCACCTTGTTCGGTGAGGCAGGGTCTCTCTGTCAAACCCAGAGCCAGAAGTTGCTCTGCGAACCCTCTGTCTATTTCAGGTAGGCCTCCATGCCTGGCCAGCATTTAGTTGGGTTCTGGATTATGCTCTTCAAACTTATGTGGCAATCCCTTACAACACCGAGCCATTTCCTCAGTCCTATGACCCCATTTTATAGATGAGAAGACAAAAAAGTAAGTCTGACTTTGCAGTTCAAGCTTTCCCATCTACACAGTGTCAAAACCAGCAATAAAACTCGCCTGACTATGAGGCCATCCTCTTCCTTTAGGATAGATTTTTGTTGCACATTTGTATCATTAGGATAATGTAACTTAATAAATATGCAGGGATCTTGAGGAGCATAGCAAGTAACCAGATGCTCAAAAGAGAAGAAAGTGCATTTTAGCTATTAAGGTAAGAGGCAAGAAGAGATTTATGCTTTCAATTTATACAGTCCTATACTGTTTAATTTACTTTTATAGCAAGCAGTTGAACACCGATTTAGACTCAGAGAGAAAATGAGAAGCAAGAATGTCTAAGAGATATTTGCAGTCAAAGAGTGGGGAGGTGGTCCAGGCAGAGGCTATCGCATAATAGAGAAGAAAATGAGGACTGAGAGGAAGAACAGTCTGAAGGCTAAGCTCAAATTGACGAGAAGTAGTCTGTCCTTAACATGGAAGAAGGTGGTCTTCCACACTGTTTCATAGATGCTACATAACAATCCTGTGAATTGCACTGCAGAAGTCTTCACACACCAGAGCAAAATTTGAAGGCTGAGTGAAGGTTGGCCAGACAGAAAGTGAGCAGGGGGGCATTCCGACAGGAGATGAAAGCCAGCCATGTCGTGTGTGCAGTGCCATATATGAGAAGTGTGAGAGAGGTGGGAGATGCTGGCACCGAGGAGGAAAGGAGGCATTTGGACTTCAGTGTACAGGTAGAAGAGGAGGAGAGATCATGTTGGCGTGTGTGTGTGCGCGCGTGCGTGCGTGCGTGCGTGCGTGTGTGTGTGTGTGTGTGTGTGTGTGTGTGTGTGTGTGTTCAAAGGAGACAAAACGAGTGCCTGAGACCAGTTTTGGTGTGAGGCTATTGTGATGGCACAGGCCTGAGATGAGAGTTGAAGATTGACATGGAGTGGAGAGGGGGCACATATGAAAGAGAGTGTCTTCAGCATCTAATACAGGAGGGATAAATAAAAGTGATGTTTCTACTTGTTGGTGGTCACTTACTAAAGATGATGAGAGGTCTAGGCCAAAGTTCTATTGTGTGCTGTAAGAAACTTGGCTTTGAGCTGGTACTGATGAGGACAGCTTAGGATTCAGGAGCTTGCACTGTTATTAACCCAAATTTCCGTTTTCCCATGAAAATATGAAAATTGTAGTTTTCACACCCAGCTTAATCTGTAATGAGGATTGGACCCAGGGCCTTGTACATGCTAGGCAAGTACTGTACTAACTGAAGCACATCTCCAGCCTTATATTTTAATTTTTTAAAAATTTCCCTGTGATAGGGTGCTTATTGATGGCAACTAGGTATTAACTGTTTGAGCTAGATCAAGACTTTAGATGTAGACAATCTTTATAGTAACTTATTATAGTATGTTAAATGCTTTAAGATCATTGTTTGATTATACTTAGACTAATTAATTTCCTTTAGACTTTTCAATATTCTAGATTGTACAGGTTTGTGTGTGTGTGTGTGTTTATGAGTGTGAAAATGTTGAATGAACAGTTTACTTTCTCATTTTTTGCTTTTAAGGTCTTGTAGAACTGTTTTCAGCATTACATGTCAAGTATTCCAAATCACAATTTTAGTGGCAATCACAGAGTACATTAAATAAGCCAAATGTGGTGTCATACACCTTTAATCCCAGCACTTGGGAGGCAGGAAGATCTCTGAGCTTTAGGCCAGCTTTGTTTACATAGTGAGTTCCAGGCCAACCAGGGCCACAGAGTGTCTTTTTAAAAAAATCATTAGATAAATATTGAAAGCATATTGAAAGCAGTTTGTCTTTTCACTTTAAAAAGAAGAGAGGACCCCCCCCCCCAATGCAGCTAGGCTAAAAATGTGTTCATGACCAAGTTTGATCAACTGAGTTTGGTCCCTAAAGCCACACAGTGGAAGAAGAGAACCTGCCCCAGACATTGTCCTCTGATCTCCACGCGGTGTCAGTGCATACACATGGGCATGCACACATGGTATATAGATGCATTTTAAGTATATGATTAGGATGAAATTGTTTTAATCACGTTTAACCTCTATATACTTTATCAACATGTTTTAAATTTTGTGTATTAGTAATGTTTTTGTCTCATTTGTAGGCTCTGAAGACAAGATCCCCAAAAAGAGATTCTTTGAGGTACAGGAGGAAAGAAGAGAACAGGCTCAGCGGACTGTTTTGATACATTGCCCAAATAATATCAATGAGAAAAAGTTTCTTAAGTATTTATCCCAGCATGGACCAATTAATAATCATTTCTTCTACGAGAGCTTTGTATGTATCTAGATAATCTATCTAACTTGGTGGTTATACTTTTGAAATTCGCCTTTTTGCTTTTTGTAGTACATGAACAAAGATCTTTCAATATTCTTCCTGTTCCTTGATTTCTTTAATGAGGCTTTCCGTCCTTGTGTATGAGAAAGGAAAGCCTTATTGCAGTGTTTTAAAATTGTACCTGGGATGTAGCTCAGTAATTAAGCACTTGTCTAGCATACTGAAAACCTTGGGTTCAGTCCCCAGCATTACAAAAAGAACAGCAACAACAAGGCAAGCCAGAGTTGTTTGTAACATTTAATGGAGATTCCATAATCCAAAGACCTCAGAACAGTGGTTCTCAATCTTCCTAATTCTGTGACCCTTTAATACAGTTCCTTATGTTTTGGTGACCCCCCAAACATAAAATTATTTTCATTGCTACTTCATAATTAATTTTGCTACTGTTATGAATTGTATTGTAAACATCTGATATACTGGATATCTGATCACAACCCATAGTTTGAGAACCCCTTCCCTAGAGTTCAGTGCTATAGATATTGACAGCAAGAGGGATCTGAGTTTTGCTCTGTGCAGTCCTATTACAGTGTTCTTTTCATTTCCTAATTTACTTGTAATGAGTTGTGTTAGGATTGTATCATTTATAAAATTCAAAATGAAGTATCTTGTAACAGTATAATTGTTTTGAGGGTGCTGTGTTAATGTGTTGAATATAACATTGTGAAACATGCTCTTTTTTTTTCTTTTTTCTTATACCTTTCATACAGGGTCTTTATGCCGTTGTAGAATTTTGCCAAAAAGACAGTGTAGACTCATTGCAGAATGGAACACATATTCCAAAACAGAGCGCAGAGCCTGCAATTCCCTTTAAGTCACGTTTCTTGAACTTAAAGCTGAAGAATTCTTCTAATCAGATTCCTGAACAGTTGTATGCACAGAAAACTAACCAGTCTCCTCCTTCAAGCAAGAAACTCTTTGAATTACTGAATTGTGCAGAAAGCGTAAGTTTACATGTAAACTTCAGATTTTTAAGTGTATATCCTTGCATTATAAAAGTTCTGATACTCAGCTACATTATTGTTTAGTAGGTACAGGGTTTAGTTTTATGTGGTAAAGGAGGTAGAGGTGAGTGATGATGGGTATATAATGTTACCAAGGACAGCTTTCCGCTAAGAGTTGATGGATGCAGCCTGTCAGATAGGTGTTGAGTTTAGTTTGTGCGGTTATCTTAATAACTGCCATAGGATCTCAAAATTCTTGTATGTTTTTCCTCCTGATTTCTTTTAGAGCAGTGAATTGCAGTCTTAAATGTCCTTAATATAAGCCATTCTTCTAGTCACTGCTATCTATTTGATCAATATGTACTTTAAAACATGTATTTGCTTGGCTAATTTTTTTCCAACTCTTTTTTATTAATGAGTGGAATTGCTTTAAGAAATTCTATTTGGGAGCTGGAAAAATGTCTCAGAGGTTCTGAGCACTTGCTACTTTTACAGAGGACAAGGTGGGTTCCCAGCACCCTTGTCAAGTGCTTACAACCACTTATAACTCCAACTCCAGGGGACCCAACCCTTCTAATGGCTTGGGGCAGTTTACACACACATGCACATGTACATGTAATGAAAAGAAATCTACACTACAGAATTTGTTGAATGAAAAGTCAAGTCTCCCTTCTCCCCTTTGTGACTCCCTGTGCCATTGTGCTCCTTACCTTATGGGTAAACCACATGTTGCACAAGTTTGGGGCCCTTTCCACTCTTTTTAATACAATAATTGTTTACATTGTGTCCTATAAATGCTTAAGTATCTTATTTCTAGTTTTATATCTTTATCCTAGTGTTTTTATTATTCTAGCTAGGTTAGTGATCTTTACAAAGAATCAACTTACTTATCTAAATACTGTTTTTTGGGTAGATTTTCTGAATTTTAAAATTTTGCTTCTAGCCTATACATATCCTTAACTTCCATTGATTTAATTTTTTAGTTAGTGCTCATTTCCTTTGCTTGCAAAACTGTTTTCAAATAAAGGCATTGAAAGCTCCAATTTGTAGTTTAATATTCAACTCTAATGCAGTTTTGGAACCTTGATTATGTTAACTGTTAATATCATTCTCTAAGGAGTCAGTGGGCTCATTTATGAAACAGAAATGTGGGACTTTTAATACTTGAATTCTAGTATTTATTGCCCTTTGATACTGGCTTCTCTTTCGATTCTGACCTTTGTGTATGTTGTGACCTCTTTTGAGGTCCCTTACTTTTTCTAAAACAGTATTTTTAACTTATTGCTTACAAAGAGTATTTTAACCAAGATTTATGTTGCTAGTGTTTTTAAGAATCAACTTTTAGGGCGAGGGAATGGATTTGTGGAAAAACTACTCCCTGTGTAAATGTGGGGACCCAGGTTTGCATCCCTAGCACCCACATGAAAGCATAGTATTGTGACATGTGCCAACAATCCCAGCACCGGGATGGTGGTGTGGAGACAGCTGGATCTCTGAAGCTCCCTGGCCAGCAAGTGTAGCTAAAACAGTGATCTCTAGGTTCAAGGAGAGACCCTGTCTCAAAAAATAAGGTAGAAGGCAATTGTGGAAGACACACAATGTTGACCTTTAATCTCCTCATGAATTAAGAGATGAAAGCACCTGTGTACACTAATGTACCACATACTCACCCCTATATCCCCCCACACATACACATGCACACCTGTGTGAGTGCACACATGCAAATATGTCTTTTAATCTACTCTTAAGACTGAAGAAAAAATTGTTTTTTTAAGGTAAATCTCTAAAGATGTGAAAATGACATTATTTTACAGACCTAAATATCTGTGTATTTTGTTGCTTTCTTTGGCCAGCTAGATAGATGATCAGCTGAACACTCTCCTGAAGGCTTTCCAGCTCACAGAGGAGAATGTCAGGCTCCGCCATCTCACATGCTCTCTCATTGAGGACATAGCAGCTGCGTATTTTCCTGGCTGTGTCATTCGGCCCTTTGGCTCCTCGGTGAACACATTTGGCAAGTTAGGATGTGATTTGGACATGTTTTTAGATCTAAATGAAGTTGGAAAATTCGATGTTCACAAGGTAATACTTATTTCTTTTCACCACTAAAATTTAGGAAATCTTTGGACCCAATAAAGTTATAGCTATTGATTGCTACCTTAGTAAAGATGACTTAAGAATGAAGTTTATCTGCTAGGGATTATTTGGAATTGTAAAGTATACCTTTGTGTTGGTCTAACATTGGGTCACTTACTGTGTCTCTCTACATATGCATAAAAGTTCTCTTCCTCAGGGTTTGAAGTTTGTTCGTGTCTATACACGTAGGTATGTTTCAGATATTTGTAACATTTTAATTTTGCCAGCTGGCTTTTAATTTACCTGCAGTGATGATAGTCACACAGTCCCTTATATACTTTTAAGTAGACTTTGAAACATCCTATTTTCTGCTTTTTTCTATGTGACTGTTCATGAAAAGCACAGCCTTGAAAAGATTTGTTTCTCAGTTTTAAGACCTACTTCTACTTCAGCCTTCTTGAAGCCATCCTTTTTTTTCCTCCACCCTGCTTAAAATTAATCACCTCCACAGTCTTTTTTGTATCTTGATGGTATTTCTGTCTTTATGGTTTCTTCCTGTCATGTTAGTTAGTGGCTGATCTGACTGTGTCCCACTATGTCATAGCTGAGCAGGGTGTGTGTCTATGATTTACTTCCATTATAGTTCTAGTCATGAACCCTGCAAAGCTGTGTATGTTCATGGAACTGAAATTAGCAAGGAGTAGGAAGGGCATCAGATTGAAATGGGTCAGATTTAGTTAAGACTGACATGCATTGGAAATTGAGTTAAATTCCTAGCATGGGCACTTAAACTGTATGACACTATTTTATTTTTATTTATTTATTAGACGTATTTTACAGAATATGTGACTCAGCCATTTAAAGTATATAGCTTTATGTTGGTGTTATTATTTCTGTATTTGCAGGGTGATATAACCATCTTAGATTATTTTTATCACATTGAAAAGCACCATCATAGGTGTTTTAGGCTTTCTTCTCTCAAGGAGCACAGAGTTGTTGTTGTTAGCCTGGATTCTGGAGCCAGCTGAAGAGTCAGATTCTACTTACCAGCAGGGTGGTCTTGGGTGAATGTTTTCTAAGTCTCAAATTTCCTAACTGAAATTTGGACATGATACTCATGCAGGATTTGATATTGACTAAACTAATGGGAAACGTAAGAGATTGACCTAAGTGCTCAAGTGTGGTCTGCTTCTGTTGGAAGCAGAAGTTTGTTGATAGCTTTTAGTTTTAATTCTCTTAAGTTTCTGAAGTATTGTGGTAGTGTTTAGGAAAAGTTAATCTTAAAGGCTTTCCTCCATTGTGATGAAGTAATTTGACAATTTGTATAATTTATGAAAATGTTATAAAGTCTACGTGCTTGTTTTAAGATTCTTTTTGTGTACTTATCAATATACCCTCATTTAAGATTATCATAGCTTTACCAATAGAAAAATTAATACTTATACAGTGACAATTTAAGCACTCTTAAATTTTCCCAGTTCCTAAAATGTTCTTGACACAATTTGTCCAAATATAAACTTGATACTGCACCTTGTTTTATAATTCTTTGTCTGGTGGTTTTATTCTTCAGCTTAAGTTGAGGAAGTTAGAAATTGTATGTTGGCTCTTTTTCTACATCTCAAGTTACTATGTATGTATAATGCCCAGTGAAAGACAGGTACTAACTAATTGAAATAGTAAATTTCAGTGTTTCTAAATTTGTGCCAATGAACTTCACACAGAAGACCCTTTAGAATGAAATAGTAAGCTTACATCTGCCTTTGGTTTTCCCTAGTTTTGTTTTTTTCTGATAGAAAGTCATATACATTGCAGGATTTAGGCAATAGAAATGAAAATTAATAACTATGTCCCTAGTATTTTCCTGTTGTCCAAGTGATTGATTTGGGTTGTGTGCTTAGTTTCTGTTCTTTCTTCATTAGATTTTCTTCCACTATGTAATGCTATATTAGAAGCTCTTGTGGAGTTAGCTGTTTCTTCAGGTTTTTTTGTTTGTTTGTTTGCTTTTTTTATGAGTATATAATTTATTTGTGCACTTGGGACATGCATGTGTGTTTGTGGAGGCCAGAGCTCAACATGGGATCCTTCCTATGTTTCTCCTGTCTTGAGACAGCCTCTCTTACTGAATTCAGCACTCACTGATTGGCTCATTAAGCTGGCCAGCAAGCACTGGTTGTATGTAGACATTTTACCAAGGGAGTTGTTTCCCCTGTCCCACTTTGTCTGTTTTATTTATTTGATAGACAAAAGTAGCTTTGGAGAGTTTCTTACCTTTGCCCATTATTGATGTGTTTTCCATCATCTGCATCTTCTGTAATTGCATTGTTTTATTTCTGGGCAGGGTCTATTGATCTGATTAGCCTACATGTTCTCTTGCTTTTTATATTGTTCACCTAAGCTCATTTACTTACACTTTAAGACAGTTTCCCAGACTTCAGTGGTTTTACCCATCAGCTGTCTATCTCTTGCTAAGGCTGAATCCAGTGACAGAAGTCTAGTCATCACTTTTTCCAGCTGCAGCCTGACTGTCACTCATCTCTGCCTATGTCCTTTGTGTCTTTGAAAGCAGTGATGAAACCATAGAGAATTGAGATGAGGCTCTTTATGGATCTTTCTGGTTCTACCTAAAAATGATGCAGGAAGCCTCTGCTTACATACAGAGTATACCCATATGGGTGGCACCCTACACAACTGCACGGAGCAGCTTCACTATCTGTCCCTGGTCTGACCATTCCTCACAGTTCCAGTTCTGTCTCCAAGTCCACTCAGAACTGTGTTTTGTGTGTTTCTTTGTTTTGCTCTTGTTTTTTTTTTTTTTTTTTTTTTTTATTGTGTCATTTGTATGTCTTTACTTCCTTTGCTTACAAGAGTGAGTCCAGCCTCACCCTTCTACTATCTGCTCTGATTCTGGTCTGCTGATTAGTGGCTTTTTTTTTTTTTTTAAACTATCCTAGGATGAGTTGTTTTCTAAAAGGAATAAGCATTGTTATTACCTTTTAATGTATGACATTTTTCTTTGTTTACTTTTCCATTGACCTTCTCTATGTAAGGAAGCCTCTGTGTCTTATTTTCTTTTGTTGATCTGCTCCTCTTCTGCCTGTATTCTCCCCACATTGTGAGATGATAGGTCCGTTAAGGTGCAATGGCTATGTAGAAAGGACAGATCTTTGTTCAGAGAATATATGTAGTAAAGTAAATGACTCATAATTATCAATGCTCTTATATCCAGAATGCAGGGAACTTTTTGATGGAATTTCAAATGAAAACTGTTCCTTCAGAAAGGATTGCAACCCAGAAGATCCTATGTGTAATAGGAGAGTGCCTTGACAATTTTGGCCCTGGATGTGTGGGTGTTCAGAAAATACTAAATGCTCGGTGTCCACTTGTGAGATTCTCCCATCAGGCCTCTGGATTTCAGTGTGATTTGACTGCTAACAACAGGTATGGCATCATACTAACAATAGATATTCACTTAAATGTGACCATTGTAAGGTATCAGCTTAACTTTTCTTGTTTAGAAACAGTAGCTCAGAACTCTTTTAGACATATTTAAGTAATGACTACCTACCCTGTTGATATGTCTTAATGTGAACTCACTAAATTGGATGTAATGTCTGTAATCCCAGTTCTGGGGAGTATTATGTATTTGAGGCCTGCCTGGTTACTACATGTCTTAGTTATATCAAAACTCTGAACCCTCCCCCCTTTTATTTTAAGGTGAACAGTTAGATTATAAGGTAGGAAATCTTTTTTTAGTGTTCTTACTTAATATAATTTTTAGTATACTTCTAAACAAAATATTAGAGTTTTGTTACGATGTTAATAGGACAATGAGATCCCTTCCTCCTTCAATTGTTTACTTTTGTTTAATGTGTATAGATACTTTACCTGCATGCAGTCTGTGCAGCACATTTGTATCTGGTTCCTGAGGCCAGAAGAGGGTGTCGGATCTAATGGGACTGGAGTTACAGAGGGTTGTGAGCCACCGTGTAAGTCCTGAGAATTGAACCTGGGTCATCTGGAAAAACAATCAGTATTCTTCACTATTGAACCATCTTTCCAGCCCCAGAAATGTATTCTTACCTATGTTGCCTAAAAGTATGAAAAGTACCTATTTTGTATTAGAAAATAGAAGTACATCTGGACATCTCTAGGCATTGTCTCCATTATATACTGACATAATATGTAATGGTTTGAGTCAAAAAATGCTCAGAATAGCTTGAAGCTATTAAGTTTCTCTTTAATGTATTTGTGCTATTTTATCTAGCTCTAAATTAATGAATCTATTCCTTACTATGGCACTTTTGTTGAAGTTCAGTTTTCCTATTATTTGTTAGATTAGGAATTGTGACTGAAGGTGGGTTCAGAGGTTCAGTTTAGAGCAGCTTTGGTTAGTTCACCTATCAAGCCAGTGCTAAGTACTTTTGGACTGCCTTCAAGTGGCATATGATATAAATTCATTGTATTTTTTAACCAAATTTAATGTAAAAATTAAAATACATGCTGTACTTTCTACAGATGTATTTTTATGTTATGTATGCAAAATTGGACAATAATGTATTTTGTTTGCTGAATTGAGATGGGTTTGTAATAACTTGACTTTCTGCAGGTTTCTCTATCCTTTTAATGCTTCCTCATGTCAGTAACCTCACACGATTTGACTTAATTCTTAACTAAATTTAATTTTCTTTAAATATGTAAAACCTTTCATTGCTATTGTCTTGAAACTCCAGTTTAAATGGATGTTACATGATGATTCTTGTGCCCTCTGTTGGTTCTTTGAGAAATTACAAGATACTATTTGATCAGTGGACACTTAATTTTAAAATATTTCTGATTGATAATCTTTGAATTTTCATTTTAATGAGAGGCTTATTAAAAATAGATTTTAAACCTGATCTCCCTCCCTTCCTTCTTTTTGGGTGTAGGGTGTTTTATCCAGCTGGACTCTTAAGTCCTGGGCTTATTAAATAGTTCTGCCTCCCTTGGCATGCACCACCATACCAGGAATGGCTCTGAGGTGTGATTTCTAACAGATGCTATAGCTTCAAGCTGTTTTTTCTTTTATACACTGGGATGGAGTAATTTTGACTGTTTCACAATTAAGAATTCTCTCTTTCTCCTTTGATATATTACATCTAGTTTTCACTCTTTCTGGTCCCTTCCCCCAATCTCCTCTCTTTCCCAGATCAGCTCTTCCTCCATTTCCCTTCAGAAAAGAGCAGCCTCCTGGGTATCAACCAAACACAGCATAACAAGATACAGTAAGGGCTGGACAAAGCAACCCAGTAGGAAGAAAAATGGTCTCAAGAACAAACAAAATAGTCAAGAGACAATCCCCATTTGTACTGTTAGGTGTCCCACAAGAACATCCAACTATACAACCATAACATATATTCAGAGGACCTAGTGTAGACCCATATAGGCTCCCTGATTGTTGCTTCAGTCTTTGTGAGCGATTATGAGCCCTGTTTAGTTGATTCTGTGGGCTGTATTCTTCTGGTGTCTTCAACCCCTCTGGCTCCTACAATTTTTCATTCCCCCTCTTCCATGGGATTCCTGAACTGTGTCTAATGTTTGGCTGAGTCTCTGCATCTGCTTCTGTCAGTTGCTGGATGAAGCCTCTCTGATGACAATTGGGCTAGGCTCTAATATATGAGTACAGCAATAGAATATCACTAGAAATCATTTCATTGACTTTGGGGGACAAGTCATATTTGCTTCTATCTTGGGTCTCTGGGCTATACAGCCTGTTTTCTGGCAGTGTTAGGCATGGTGATATGGGCCTTTGGGTGATATGGGCCTTGTGTTGGACCTGTCATTGGTTAGCTATTCCCACAAGTTCTGTGCTACCATTACTTCAGCACATTTTGGAGGCAGGGCAGATTATAAGTTTGTAGCTGGGTTGATGTCCCTGTCCCACTACTGGAAGACTGTGTTACAGGAAAGTGCTGGTTCAGGCTCTGTATCCCCCATTATTAGGAGTCTTTGCTAGGGTCACCCTCATAGATTCCAGGGAGTTTCTATTGCACTGGGTTTCCACATTATCCATGAAATGCTTCCTAATTCCTGTCATCTCATTAACTGCCCTCACCTGGTTCCTCCATAATTAAGAATTTCAGAAAAATACTTTCATGATCAAATGAGTAGAATGTTTTCCTGTGTGTTTGCAAAGGACTGTATAAGAAGTCAGGCTTCAGTGCAGAAGCATTTCCCAGTGTTCCTGTCTATAGTGTAATCATGAAGAGCCCTTAGACTTTGTACTTTTTGTTTAAGAAACCATGTTTAGAGACTTGACTTAATAACAGATCTGTGTTTCAGAGCTTGAATTGAATACTGTGAGTGTACAGTGCTGTCAGTTGGTGGTTCTGAGGCAGACCCTGATGTAACTTGGTCTGGCCTCCAGATCCTGGTACCCATGCCTCTGTCTCCTTTGTGCAGTCTGGCTGCATAATGGTTTAATAGTGGTGTTCAAAATATAAGCAAAAACCAGTGAGATACTTGGATCTGTTCCCAGTTGTGTCTTTAATTTGACTTTTGTATCATAACTTGGGGTTTGAAGTTTTATTTTGCTTTTTTAACTTTTCTGTTTTGAAGTATTGCTTTGAAAAGTTCCGAACTCCTTTATATATACGGCTCCCTGGATTCAAGAGTAAGAGCCTTGGTGTTCTGTGTACGATGCTGGGCTCGAGCGCATTCATTAACAAGCAGTATTCCTGGTGCATGGATTACAAACTTCTCCCTAACAGTGATGGTCATCTTTTTCCTCCAGAGAAGATCGCCCCCCATTCTTCCAACTCTGGATTCTTTAAAATCACTAGCAGGTAAGACTAGAATTGGCCTTCTTCTTTTTAACACTGGATAGACACTTTACCATGTATAATCAAAGCACATATATTTGTAAGTCATATAATTTACTCCTTGATTTTTAAATCTAAAAAGAAATAAATTTTAAGTGGTGTGTGTGTGTGTGTGTGTGTGTGTGTGTGTGTGTGTGTGTGTGTGTGTGTGTACGCTTGTGTGCGTGCAGTCATTCATTCATCAATGGTCTTTTTTTAAAATGTATTTATTTATTTATATTTTATGTACATTGATGTTTTCCCCACATGTATATTTGTGCAACTGTGTTGGATCCCCTAGAAATGGAGTTACCAACAGTAGTGAGCTGCCATGTGGGTGCTGGGAATTGAACCAGGGACTTCTGAAAAAGCAGCCAGTGCTCTTAACCACTGAGCCATTTCTTTAGCTTCCCTCACCAGTGGTCTTAAGAACTAGTGTTGTTTATCTATGCCTTTGGAATAGAACCTTATGGTGCCAGTTGTCAAGTAGCTTACTATAGTCTTCAAATAGTTGAAGCCTCTCACTTAGTTGACCCAGTCTGAGATGAAGTTAGCAGGTCCAGCTATGGATCTGATCACAGTCCTCAGGCTCACTAGATTCGATTCTCCCCAGACAGCACTGGGGTACCTGAAACTGCTTCCTGGTATGCCAAAGATTTTCAATGTAGGTATATTTGAGTTTACAATCAATCCTAGGTATGTGGTGTTTTAAATTCAACATGCTGTTTGTGTTATGATTAAATAGAAATTTGAATAGCTTGTTGAAGGAAATAGAAAATATCATTTTAGGGTCACATATGTAGAAAGTAAGTACATACCTTTATAGCTGTCCCACTGGATATGTTACTCCAAGGTAATTTTTAAGTGTATGTGGGTCTTCTCTGTTTAAAATAATCCTAAAAGGAATTTTATTCCTATATAATGAGTTGTGAACTACTTGTTAATACTTAAAACTATTGGATATCCAAGCTAGTATCCTCTGGTATTCCTCCTTATATGTTGCCATACCCACCCATACTATGATTGTTCTCGTTTATGTGCTCCTTTAGTCATAACTAATTTTTCTGCCTGGAATGTGCTTTCTCTTAGATTAAATTATTTCTCTCTGCTACCTTCCCTTAATCCAAATCAAAAGTAACTCTTCTGGAAAGGCTACACATGTTAGTGTGGTTTGCACTCACTAAGAAGAAGCTGACATAGTGGGATACCAGAGTCAGCAGGGTGGAGTGGCATTGGGTCTCAGGTCTGAGGCTGAAACAGAAGGCAACAGAAGCCATGCCTGTGGGCCCCTCCCCTGTACTGTCCTTCATTTACCAAGTATTTAGTGATTGCATGCTATGTGTCAGGTAGACAGTCTCCAATAGCTGACACACTAAAAAAAGAAGGCATATTCTTCTCATCAATGAACAGTTTATAAACAGCGTTTTTTATTCTGCTCCTGCTGGGTGCACTGATGTTGTAACATTGAGAAATCATTGTAGAAAAAAATCATGGAGCTCATGGGATTTGGAAGCTGAAAAAAAATCACCGATGCTAGTTTGTGTTAGGGGTACACTGCTACTGAGCATACCATTATTCTGTTCCAGTCTCAGGGTTATCAGCTTACCCGGGCTCTCACAGTCTTCTTTCCTTACCCCCAGCTCCATAGTGCTAATGGTGGTTTTTGATAAACATGTGTCTGATGGTAGTGTTCTCTTGAAATTCATCTTAAATATGTATGTTGAGGAATGGGATTGTAGCTCAGTAGTGGAGCAGTTGCCTAGCATATGTAAGGCTCAAAGTTCTACCTCCAGCTTAATCTCCCCTCCCCATAAGTATGCTGTTTTCCTCTAAATCATTTCAGAATGCACCACAATAGATTATTTGAGGAATTCCTTAGTCATTAATTAGCTGAATGGCTTTCTTGTTTTCTTCTGTGCCTCTCATTTGGTACATAGGATAGTCTTAGCAATTTGTTCTCCTTAAAATTGTTTTTGTTTTCTTACTTGCATTTTAACTCCTGGATCACCTTCCAGAGCTCCTGGAACTCTGTAACTAGACAAGAGCTAAAGCTCACATTTCTTTCAGCAATCATGCTTGTCCTTTGTGACCCTCCTCTTCCCTCCACCTCTTCTGTTGACTCCTGTGTGCACTTGCTGATCTCAAGTGACCCTGCCCCTCTCTACTTGCATGTGCACCCTTCCCTGGTGCGCCCTTTCTGTGTCATACTGCTCTCCTGAGTCTGGGCTATTCCATGTGCATGTCTTGTTTGCTGTGACAGTCATTTCAAAGCATAGTCACAAATCAGCTGTCTACCAAAAGCATGTAGAATTACTTAAAAGCACACCTTCTGAAGTGTCTGACTCAGTAGCTCGGCAATAGGGATTCAGACTTGCTTCTACAAACTTTGGGATCACTGACTCCACTTTTGAAAGTCCTGCTGACCCATGGGATTTTATTCTTTTGAAGGGTCTGAATAAATCAGCTTATTTTCTTTTTCCTAACCTTAGACCATGATGGTGTACTTAAATTTCCTTTGGTAAGTTTTATAAACTGTTATCCATTACAAGTTAGTTCTTTTTGGCATGTGAATGTCCAATTATTTTTACACTATTTGCTTTAAAAACAGGCTGTACTTTCTCCATATAGTTCTTTTTTGTATCTTGACCAAAGTCAGTGACAATAAATTGTTCATATTTGTGTGGGTCTATTTTTAGACTGGCAAATCTCTTCAGTTTCTCTCTCTCTCTCTCTCTCTCTTCCTCTCCCCCCCCCCATTCTCAGTACTGAAATACTTTGCTGTAGCACTGTAATGCTTAATGTGCCATAATGTGATTGGTACAATTTCATTCTTTCAAAAATTAGTTTAGTTACTTTACTTTCCTTTAAATTTTTCAAATCTGCCTATGTCAATCCACAAAGAATTCTGCTCGGTGCTCAGAAGAAGAGTTGTTGTCCTACTAGGTATAGTTCAGTGATTTTTTTTTTTTAATTTAGTTGACAGTTTCATGTACATATATAATATGTTCTGGTCACAGTTGTATTTCCCCCTACCCCCCCCCACTGCCTACCTTCACTAACCCTCTCCCTTTTCCCTAAACAAATAGAAAAAACAGCTGAAGAAAAAGCACAACAAACATACAAATGCTGAGACACACACACACAAAAAAACCTATAAAAAATATTTGGAAACTGTAATATATAAGCAAAAGATCTGTAAGGGGGGGGTGTGTCCAGACAAAGCATTGTGAGACAACAATTCTCCAAAGATAGCATTGAGTTTGTTTTGTGCTGGCCATCTACTGCTAGTTATTATTTGTGTACCCATTGAGACTCCATTGGAAAAGAAAATATTTCCTTTCTGATTGGTTATCAATTGGATTTAGCTTCAGGTGAGCTAGGGGTGGAGACTTATGTCTACTTCCCCTCTCAGAACTGTACCCCATCTAGTGTAGACCTGTGTAGGATCTGTGTGTGCTGTCCTGGTCTCTCTGAATCCTTAAACGTGAAGCAGTCCTGTTGTGTGTAGAAGGCCTTGTTTTGTTGATCTTCATCCCCTTTGGTTCTTATAATCTTTCTGCTTCCTCCTTGGAGGGTTCCCTGAAGGCAGAGATTTGATGAAAACATCCCGTTTAGAACTGAGTGTTCAAGGTTTCTGACTCTCTGCACATTGTTCAGTTATGGGTTTCTGTGTTTGTTTCCATCTACTGTAACAGGAAGCTTCTCTGATGATTGCTGAGCAAGATATTGATTTATGAGTATAGCAGAATGTCATTAGGAGTCATTTTATTGCTACATTCTTTTATAAGAATAGTCATATTTGTTTTTCCTCTTAGGTTCATGACTTATCTTTTTAGTCTAGGTTCTTAGCCACCCAAGCATTGTTGGGCATGGGTTCCATCTCATAGAGTGGACCTTCATTCCAGACAGATAGTATGGTTGGATGTTCTCACAGTTTTTGTATCACTGTTGTACCAGCGTATCATGCAGTCAGGTCACCATCATAGATCCCGGAGTTTGTAGCTGGGTGAGTTTTCCTTTTCTCCTTGGGTAGTGTACAGAGAACCTCTAGTACTGTGAACACTGGTCAGTAGGGGTAAAGGTTCTAGGTAGGCACAAGTTTGGCTTCTCCATCATCAGTGAGCTATGTAGGTATTATCAGCAGTAGGGCCTAACTTGCAGTTTGTGGAGAGCAACCAATAGCCTCATTGTTCAGGGATTTCCATGGGGCCCTTTGTTGGTAATATCTTGAGTCAGAGACACACATTCCTTAAAAAAAAAAGGCACAATAACTAAAAGATGGACAAAAGGTGTAATTTGTTAATCACATGACATATTAAGCATGTATATAGATTTCAAAGTAGAAGTGTTTATATTGCTGTGTGGTGGATATGTTGGCTTTGTGTTATATAGCTTTGGGCATGTGGTAAGGCTGCATACTAATGAAGGATGCAAAGTAGCTTTTTAGGATGCAAACATAAGCAGAAAAGAAAAGAGTGGTTTCCCATGTTCCCTTCAAGAACATGCATGTCCTTAGCATGTTTCTACCTCATCCCAAGAGTACCAAACTGAGAATAAATCTCCAACAAGTGGGAATTTGGGGAACACTCCAGATTCAAACTGTAACAGTGAACACATAACATTGGGGGAGGTATGTCAGTAATGTATAGTTTTTTTTTTTTTTTTTTAATGTTCATCCCTACATTGTATATTGGGATATGGATAAGGGTAGGTAAGAGATTCCATGATGCCTGTGGACTTAGTAAAATAAGAACAATGATTACATTTCATGATACAATGCTAGTAGGAAAGTGAGTGAGTGGTCTTGTGTAAGCCTCTTTGAACAATTAGTTTGTGTCATTGGGTCAAAGCATAAAACAGTGTTAAGGATGGAAAAGGAAATCAATGCTGATTAAGGATGTCCCAAAGTTTGCTTAATGGAATGTAGAAACTTTGTGTTTTCATTTTTAACTAGAAGACTGATTAGTTCAAAAGATGGATTAAAAGCATTGAATTGCCAGAATCATCTCAAATCCTTTTTAAGTGGAGCTTTAATATCTATGAACTAACTACATATAACATGACCAATGGTAAGAACTACTTTACAGTGTGGAACTCTTGTTTCTGTGTTTTAAGATGCTGAAGATAGATGTATCCTAGATGGGCACAATTGTACATTTGTTCGGGACTTGAATAAAATTAAACCTTCAGGAAACACAGAAACATTAGGTAAGTCTTTTTCCTTTCTTCTTGTTCCTTTTTGGGTTCAGACAGATTTTCTTCTTATTTTCTTTATCTTGTTTTCTTGCAGAATTACTACTGAAGGAATTTTTTGAGTATTTTGGCAATTTCGCTTTCAATAAAAATTCCATAAATATTCGACAGGTAAAGAATGTGTGGCATTTTTATAAACTAGCTGTTTGTTGTGCCAGTGTTTCATTTCTAATGCACTCTAAAGAATGCTCGGGTCTAAGTAATGGGCACGAGATGGGACTGTGGCACTTGAGTGAGCCCTGTCATCCTCAGAGCTGCAAGAACAGAGGCAGCTCTTGTCATCCGCTGTTGTCACAGTGTGTAGTCTGTTTCTGAAGCTAAGACTGTATCCTTCAAGATGTGAAATAGCATCCCCAGGTTGTTTAAAATAAAGATGTGTTCAGTGACAGAATTTATCTTATATTTGAGACAAATTTTGCCATGTACATCCAGTTGGCCTTGAACTTGTGGTAGTTTTGCCTCCACATTCCAGTGCTTGGTTGTAGGCATGTGCTGGCCCTGTGGAATTCCTAAGGATGGATAGATTGTACCATTTCCCTCACTTTCTGCTGTTGGGGCCTAATTTAGAACATGCCACTTTATAAAGATTGACTTTGTTTATAGTCTCTCTCCCCTCCCTTCCTCCCTCCACCCCTCCAGGCCCTTCTGTTTTTAAGTAGTTGTATTATGTAAAGAGGATTTTTATTGTTGACCTAGTCCACATACCTATCATCTGAGCATTGACATCATCATTTGTAGATTGTAAACCCAAGCAATTTTCTTAGAGAATACTTGTAAACTACATGGGAAAAAGAAAAGGTTGGTTGTATACACACTCATATAAATGCATATGTAGCCAAGACCAACCTTGGGAAAGCACTTCTTTGCTCTCTGGCTTACACTGACCTTGTGTGTCCCTTTTACGTGGTGTGTATCTTCTCTGTTGTCTGTAGGGAAGGGAGCAGAACAAGCCCGACTCTTCTCCTCTGTACATCCAGAACCCTTTTGAGATGTCTCTCAACATAAGCAAGAATGTGAGTCAGAGCCAGCTGCAGAAGTTTGTGGATTTGGCCAGAGACAGTGCCTGGATCTTGGAACAGGAAGATAAGGGTCAGCCTTCCCCTTCTAGTAAGCAGCCCTGGGGGCTGGCCACCCTCCTGCTGCCCCCTGGGACAGTCTACACATCTCTCTCCAAGAAGAGGAAAAAGCCAGTGAGTGAAAAAGTCAAAGGCTTGTTAGAATCCATAAAAAGTAGCACTACAGACAGTTCCAAGGGCACCCGAGGAAAGAGAGCAATCAGTACACAGGCGTGATGGCAACAGCTTTGGACTCCTGAGAAGAGTGCCGTGAAATTTTGACAGGCCTTAACTTTTATCTGATGCCATTTGTCAAGAGCTCATCACCCTTTTACTTGATCTGAAGTTCTGGATATTTCTTTCCAATCAGGTGGAGCTTTATTCAAAAATCAATGGCAAAGAATATGTAAAAAAACATACTTGAACTCTGCAAAATGAATTTTATCAGCAAAACAGTTGATATTTCTGTCAGTCCCTAGTTGGAAATCATTTCAAAACACTGGTACTTATCTCCATGTATAGGTGATGAATGCAATAAAGCTCCAAAATTTGGTAATACTCTTTAGTATCTATATCTATTTTCTATTTTTCAGCCAAAATTCTCTTATTAGTTGTTTTGATTTCTGGTTGGTATACAAAGTAATGGGTTTTACAGTAGGCTACTATGTAGACTCTTGTCTTTGGTTATCCTTCCCCTCCCTCCCTCCCTCCCTCCCTCCCTCCCTCTCTTTCTCCCTCTCAGCACTGTCCCTTACCCCCATTAGCCTTCTGTTCAGTTTTGCTTCATTCGTGAATGAATGTTCAGCTACTCCCTTCTCTTCCCTCACCATAAGGCCTTCTCCCCAAAGGTCCCCAAAGTTTCATGATCTGTATCCCTACATATTCCACACATATTTCAAAAGTGAAGCCCGAGGTCCACATAGGAGAGGAAAAGTACAGCTGTGACTTATTGGGCCTGGGATCCTTCATCAAGCAAAGTCTCCTATTCACAGTTAGACAGGTTAGTTTTGATTTCCTGAACTAACTGTCTCTAAAACATAAAATGCAGACACTCCACAGCATCTGTGTTCTAAGATGTGTAAATTATGGATATAGTGTGCTTTACTGTATATTTTGTTTTAAAATCGAATTTTATTTTTCAAAATAAAACCCTGTTTCCACTAAAATGTGGTAGCAGTATTTCTAATATTCACTTCTCTTTTTGACATTTCTCCCTTCCCTATAAGAAATTGATCCATATATAGGGACATATGTTTTACATTGTATTCTGTGTAATAACTTTCCTTGGGCAGTATAGATGATGTAGTTGAAAATTGACAGGCACTGTCCTTGGCTGAGGTTGTTACAGCTACAGTATGAGAGTAGTAATAGTACCCACTGCTCTAGGATGTGTAGCTGAGGTACTAGGAAGGTGCTGGTCAAGTCTGGCACACAGCCAGTGTGGCTGAGCCGCTGGCATCCCAAATGCTGTAGACACAACTAATGACAACCTGTGGGGGCAGGACCAGGTACAAGTACTACATTCCTTTTTGTTCTCTATAACCTATGGGCATGTAGCCTGCTGGCACTTACTATTCATAATTTTAGCCATGAATCTGGCTCACAGTGTGGGATTTTCCACTTGTGGGGTCATACAATCTCTGGAGTTTTAGCACTTCTGAGGCTTTTGGGATGTGTGAGATTAGGGATGCTCAGCCTGCATTTAGTGATGCTGCTGCTGCTGCTGCTCATTTGATTTCAGGGACATTGGAGGTGAAACCCAGGCATGCACTCTCTCATCCCTAGCTGCTACTCTTCAGAGTTCATAGTCTATAGTTATTTTTCCTCCTACTCAAAATTCAGACTTGGAGCTTGTAGTGATTTTAAACTTACAAGGTCTTAGAACAGAATTCTAATGAACTTGGAATATTTGGGGCAAGTCAGCAACATTGGGTTTCTGAAGCTCATTATGTTGAGATAGAGCTTTATGTTTTTTTTTTTTTTTTTTTTTTTTTTTTTTTTTAAGCAATTCGGAAAGTTTCTAACAGAGGTGATTTTCTTTCCCAAATCACAGATGTTTGTTTGGATATTTTCTTTTGCGTTGATTTTAAATTTAAAGTTAAACACATAACGTAAACATGTTTCTTTTTTTTTTTAATTTTCATCCTATTCTATTTTACTTTGATACTGATAGTTTGTCTTTTCACATTAAGATGTAATTATGTGATGAATTTTAAGGTCCATATAGCTCTGTCTAGCTGTGAACTCACTATGTAGCAAAAAATGACTTTGAACTCTGCCTCTGTCCCCCAAGTGGTAAAATTACAGGTGTGAGCCTCCACACCTGGCTAAAATTTTTAATATAGAATTTTAAAATAAAGGTCCTGTGAACATTCCTGTTACAGCAAAGTAGGTGTGTGTGTGTGTGTGTGTGTGTGTGTGTGTGTGTGTATTGCTGCTGCTGCTGTTGTTTGTAAGGTTTTTTTGTTTTTCTTTTCTTTTTGATAGTGGTATCAATTGATGCCTAGATCCTTGCATATTCCATTTAGGCTGATACGCTACCACTGAGCTATTTCCACACCCCATAATAAATAGTTTTAAATTGTATTTTACTGACTATAGACTACAGATAAAGTATTTCCTTCTTCCTTTCCTTTAGTATATCACAGCCCTATTGTCTGTGTGTATGCTTGTGCCAAACCTGGAGTTCATAGCGCCTAAACTAGTGAATTCTAGATTGTTTTTATTGTTTTGTCTTTTTTTTTTTTTTTTTTTTTTTTGGTTTGGCTTTCTTTTGAAGTGTGCAGCATTGGAAACTTACCATAATGGATGATGTTGAATCAAATGAAGTAATTTAATGAAAACATTTTAAATCTAGAGTGCATTGTGTTCCCTGCCACAACACTTTAAATGTGTAAAATGGTTCGGTCCAATTGGGAAGCTTCTCCCAGGACAGTTACTGGTACTTGGCACAGAGGAATGCAGCTGAGGTTTTCACTCAACTTGGATGTGTTTATTGTGTGGGCTGAGCAAGAAGGCATGGTCCTTCCATTTTGCTCTTAAGCTGACAGTAAAACATTCTCAAAGCTGGCTGATGTCTTGCAGGGAAGCAGCTCATCAATGGTCATATCATACTTGTGGGGCTAATTTTGAACGTTGTGAAAGTAGACTGAAAAGTATAATGGGTCTGCACAGATCCTTCACATGTTTGGACAGTTAATGCATGCCTAATTGTTTTGAACGTATAGGCCACTGACTTGCCACCTCTGTACCAGTCTAAACAAATTCTACATTCTTCTGTCTTCAGTAGCATGCCAGTGTTGCTGAAACGTAGGAATCAACAGGACCAACATAGGTGATCAACAGAACTATGGTCCTGTTGATCACCTCTAAAGAACAAACCATCAGCTTTACTAATACCAGTCTTCTGGGGAGTATAGGGGCTCCCCCAAGTGTATTTATTTGAATCAGGACCCATTTATGCATCGATTTTATTTCCAAATATTGCTCTGGGTTCATTCACTTATATTCTAAATGTTCAGTTTCATCTGCTAAACCTTTTAAGCCTTTCCTTTTATCTCTTCATTTACTTCTGAGCTGTGTTATATCATTTTTTTTTTTTTAACATCTAACTTTAAACCTATTAAACTGTATTGAATTGAGTTTTTTTGCTTTTTTTCCCCAAAAAACTTCCAATTTTGGGGTTAGAATTCTCAAGTCATCTTGTCCCGCGCACAGCGGGAAACCTAGGTAACCTGTTCCTCTGTCGCTGTGTGTGCCTGTGTGGTCAGAGCCTAATGGTACTCACATTCCCTAACGCAGTGCCACTGTCTGCGAGGGAGGGTGATGCATCTTCAGGCAGAGGCTTTGTTTTGCTTCTAGGAGGTGGGGGCTACTTATGATCTTGGGTCACCTTGTTAGAAAGGGCATGAGATTGTTGAGGTTAGATTCAGTGCAGTCTAGTTTATATTTCCCCAATTTGTTTTTTGTTAGTTTTTGTTTTTGAGACAGGTTCCTCTGTGTAGCCCTGGCTGTCCCTGAACTTGTTCTATAGACCAGACTGTCTTTGAACTCAGAGATCCACCCCCTCTGTCTCCCAAGCTGGGATCAAAGGCATGCACCACCAGCACCTAGCTTCAAGTTGTAACACAGGTGGAAAAGATGCAGTCCCAGGCCTGCATGCTTAGCATGTGCCCAACCTAGCATGCCAGGGACTCATTGCATGCTGGTCCTCTCAGCTAGGAGGTACTAGCAGCATGAGTCTGTCTGCAGAAGTTTATTTCTGCAATAATGTTTCACTGCTCCTACACTTTGAAGCTGCTGGTTTTTGTTTTGCCCTTTTTTTTCTCTCTCATTTGTAGCAAGAGAGGCAGTAGGTACTGTTTTTACTGGAAACCCTTGAGGTCTGAACCCCAGTCCATGGCTCCTATTCAGGAGTATTTGCTGCTCACTGACTTCCTCTCCATGTGAGGAGAGTCTAGTGCTCCCTCACTACCATCCTGGTCTCATGGATCCAGTGCAAACATCTGAGTGGAGGGAACATGCCCTCCTTTAGAAATCCAGCATTGCCAAACTGACTTCTGGCCTGTGGTTTTTCTCAGGATTCCATCCATCTCAAGTCAAGGCTGGGAGTGTGCCATGTGTGAATGTGTGAATGTGTGAATGTGTACAAGTGCCCAAGCACACTGAGACCCTCCAAACAACTGGAAAATACAAGTGTGTTTTTTTTTTCTTTCCATTTTTTTCAAAATATTTGTCTTGGCAAAGATGAAGAGTGAAGCATTTTAGTTCTTAAAAATGTTATGATTTGTGAATTCAGTTAGCAGCTGGAGAGATGGCTCTGCCATTAAGAGCACTTTCTGCTCTGGGTTCAATTCCCAGCAACTGCATGGCCACTCACAACCATCTGTAACTCCAGTCCCAGGTATCCAATGGCCTCTTCTGGCTTCTGTGGGCACTGGATACACACGTGCACACACACACATACACACACACACACACACACACAAACACAGGCAAACACTCATGCACATAAAATTAAAAGGAAATCTTTAAAAAGAGACATTAGAAAATCTCTTTTCAATTTTTAGCACAAGTTCTTTGGATATATTTTTGTTTTTGTTTTATTGCGGGAGGGGGGACATGTGCTGTATGTGGCATGTGAGAGGCCAGAAGAGGGTGTTGAAGTCTTCCACTGCCACTCTACCTGACCTTTTGAGGCAGTTTCTCTCACACAATGTAAAGCTTGCTGTTTTGACTTCTGGGGTCAATGTGTCCCTGTCCCTCACATTGAGGTTGCAGGCACACACCTGTCCCTATCCCTGTCCCCCAACACTGGGGTTGCAGCCATGGGCAGCTTTTATGTGGTCGCTGAGGATTCAAATTTATTTGCACAGCAGGCACGCTTGCCCACTGAACCTTCTCCTTCATCCTAAAGCATTATCCCACAATGAAGATTTAAATACATTTTTACACAGGTGACATACTCGAGATGTTTTTGTATTTTATGAGTCAGTTCTGTAATGATGACTAATTCATATTTCTTGTTTTCAGTTGTATAACTAGCCTACATTTGTTGT